CTCTGATGCCTGTAGACTCTATTCTGTTGGCAAACTGGGCTCTGTAGCCGGCGGATTTTGCTATGTGAAATTCCTTCCCAAACTGATTTGGGCTTAATACGCGGCTGGGCCTATTAACCGTGGGCTTAATAACCCTGGGCTTAATACGCGGCTGGGCTTATTAACCGTGGGCTTAATAACCGGCGACCTACTCTAATAGCTAAAAGCTCGGACACATGTTTTGCCGATATCCTGCCGCTGCGTGGCACAGCTATGACGGGTTCGGGTCTTATTTTAAAGATTTTGATATAAGCGTCGAACACAATCTACATTTGTGTATAATATTCGTTTATAGTACATCACGCGTAAACAGAAAGTTTTGGTTCGCAGTGTTTAATGCTAGGAAATTTCTTGAGTATTGAGAAACTTTGGATTTTCTCAAATTCTTCGCCTATTTTCCGTCAGCATACTGATCTGAACTGATCTATTTTGTAGTTAACAGCATTTTGCGTCTCAAGTCAATTTAACGAACGAAATAAACAGAATGAACTTTGTGCTAAAGCACCCCCTCAATTGTTACCTTAACATTTCGTGAGTTAGACAATCTACTGTTTGTAGAATGTCTTTTTTGCTCCACAGATTAAACAAAGGGTTACGTTGACTTCTGAATTAGTTGATCAAACGTAAGATGATTAAGTGTTTCACAGTCCGCAAAGGATTCAATTCTTCGAGTATTTGATTGTACTTGCCAGAGCCTTCCAGCCTGTTAGCCTGTGGTAATACAATTTGAGTTTTAAAATTTCTTCACCTCTTTCGAAAAATCCGATGCTTTTTTTGCATTCCATGCTGCCCAAGAACTCTGGTGAGTGGAGTGATTTTCTGAGGAGCTTGCAAATCCATACACTACGGTGGGTTCAATTTGGGGTTGAACCTGCCGCTTGTCTTGCCAGAATGTATGTTACATTGTGTTTTTCGCTCGGTGAGTGACTTCTATTTGAGGGCACTTTTACCAGAGCCATAACGACTAGAACCGCTGGTTACTTTCATAAATTTACGATGTTGCCTTCCCCACGCAATGTGTCTGCCCCCCAAGGAAAGCAAATCGAACATTGTTCTCAAGATCTGTGTATCACAAGGAAGATACAAGATTTCCTTATGCACTTAAAAAGCAACTGTAAACTTATGTGTCTTACGACACTAGATCCTAATTCGCAATATAGTTGTGCCAGCACTTGGGACTGAAATGCGACGGACTGATGACTATGGTAGCCATTCAAATGTCCCGAGCACTTGTCAGCAGCAATTGTCTGTTGCAAATTGCTACGCACCCTCTCGTAACGCCAACGACAGATTGAAGTTCACGCACGACTATCAGGCGAGCCTTAGACTAGCATTTTAGGATCTTTAGGAACCCCTACCTTACGCTAACGGCCTCCATTTACGTGGCTTTGCTACTAGCAAGTCTTTGTTGTAGTGTTTCTAAGCTTATGATGAGTGCAAGGGCTGACGTCAGTCGTGCGACCTGCGTAATAGTCTTGCACGTCTTCAGTTTGGCGTTGGAGTGGATGCCAAGGTCTTTCTATGTGGAATATTTTAGCCGGTGAAAAACCCGATCCACTTGGTACGTCAGCGTTTTTATTTCATGTTCGAGTATGCTGCTACTTGAAATGGTATTTATCGGCTGGATTTATTTGTGTTTATTGACGAGGAAATGTCCTCTTATCAGAATTATTCGTTCCTTGCATTCTGTAGTTGGTCCGGTATGTACATGCAAAACATTAAAACGCGGAAACTGCAGCCCAGGGCTACTTTAACACTCGTAATGATGCATCTTGTCAATCAAGAATCTTTGGGTTGGCCTGATACCTCATGTGCAGAGCAGTAGCTGTGTAACTGGTAGTTTGCACATCTTACCCTTCTGTTTTTCCATCCTTAAAGGTTGTGGTTGTTGTTGTTTTGGAGGTAAGACTTGAATCTGAGGTATATTTGCAAGGCATCGGCCTCATTCTTTTAGTGTTCTCGTATTCATGACTTCACAGCTACAAGTTAAAGTCTATTTGACCTGTAAACAGGCATTAGTCCGGTCTGTATGTGCCACACATCTCTCCGTTCCTCCGTCGTATTCGATCCAAACCACGCGCAAATTCAGTTAAAAAAGGCCTTTTTGTCTTCTGAAGCTGTTATTTTTCTTGCTCCATCGTTCCACAGTTGTTTACTGCCCCCCCTCCCCTTCGTTATCACCCGATAGCTCTTGACACTGTCATCTCTTCGGACGCGGAAGCGAGAACAGTTGCAGTCAGGCGAGTGATATTTATGCTGCACCGGCTTTACGCGACAACGAGGGCGCGAAACCTCTCAGCGACGCCCTCGTCCTCAGACGGCACCCTGCCCTCCTCCCTCTACTTCCGCCTCCTGCTGCCCTATGTAGACTGTTTGACCAAAAAAATGCCCCTCGCCCTGCTGCAAGATGCCAGCATTTGCGGAAATCGACGCTTTGGTCGAATCTGTTGCTCCCTTTGGCGCAGTCTTCACACCGTAATGCCTCAACGGTAAATTTGTCGTTTGGTTCCTTTTTACTCATACAAAAGTGACCATTAAGCGATTCAGAAAACTGTCTATCTGCTAGACTCCCCCAGTCTTCAATCTGAGTGAAAATGTTAAAGAGGAGTGGGTATTTTTTGCGCTACAGATTATGTCTATGTTCGTTTTTTGGCCAACTATGTGCCCCAATAAGGACAAGTGTACTCTCCTCGTCTTGACGGTGGAGGCAGCGAATTATTCGCACACTTATCGAGCAGGTGGCGTTTTTGTCAGCCGGATGTACATCGAGGGGATATCCAATTTTCTAGATTTTCAAAAAACGGTGAACAGGAAAACGTTCAGCATTATTCATTTTTCTAATTAAATACCCACGCTCACTTCCAATCTATTCTATGTCGCCTTCTTTGTATTCAAAGGACGTTTAAACCCACTTGTAATTGAAGAAGTCAAGATAGGCGAACGAACGTTTTCGATTAATTCATCATCA